GTATTCACTGAATACGGGGTTTTTGTTTTGGTCCACTCTCATTTGTTTGTGTATTTTTTTTTCCACAACTTAATTTTTTTTTTTAATGTTCTGGTAAAAAATCGAATTTCATCATCCAATACAAAATAGCAGTTTAGTAGGATATATAAAGCCCATCTGAGGCAACGAAACGAGGCCGAAACATATACATACCGTTGGATGAGATGGGTACTCTAATCTAACCGTAGAATTAAACAAAATTGAATTTCAAAAGCTAAGCTAGAGAGGGAGGATTGCGGAAGAGATTTCAAAGCCACCACCATCCTCTTTTGCTTTCGGAAAAATTCCCTCCTTTTCTTCACTTGCACATTCTTGATATTTTTGCATGTGCAGTTTCATCTATCTACACACACATATAGATCGAAGGTCTTTCAAATTGAGGTTGTATGTCAGCTATATTCCTTCTTTTCGGGATTTTTTTTTTTTTTTTCGTTTCGTTTAATAATCTGAGCTCGCGGGGGCGGATATTTCAGTTTTGAATTTGGAATTTTGGTTCTTTCTTTATTGGGTTGGAGAAGTAAAAGGATCTGTGTAGATTTATTGAGAAACAGAAGAAAAAAACAGTGTAATTCAGTTTCTTTTCCTTTTTTTTTTTTTGTTTCTTGAGAGATTTCAGTTTGGAGATTTATTCGTGTTTTAGGGAATTCTTTATTTGATTTTGATTTATTTAAATGGACCAAAGAGATGGAGAGGATTTTCCTCCAAATAAGCAAGCTTCTTCCACGGCGCCGGCGGAATTCCCGGCGAGGAAGCTTGTGAGGCAGCTGGATTTTACTGGTTCAGGCGCCGCCACATCAAGTGAGCAATTTATGAAGCAACCGTTAGGAAAGCTGTCCCAGACGCCAAATCCACCACACCTTCAGCCACCACAAATGCTTTTTATGGCGATGCAACAGCCGCCACAACCAGCTGTGCTATCCCCTCATTCTTCCGTACGCTCTCTTGTGTAAGTTTTTTTCTCCAATTTTATTTTATTTTCAATTCTGATCAAGGTTGATACTTCTGTTTTTTTAATCCATTCCCAGGAACTTTTTGTAGGTTTTTCTTGTTGCACTTTCTGATTCCGTTTGTAAATCTTGTTCTTTGATGCATTTCTATCTTGATAGTGCAGTGATTTATTCCTTTAATGTATTTCTATCTTGATAGTGCAGTGATGTCATGATACTAGCCTGTGAAACCGTAATACATGATCTTGTGACAATTCTTATAGCATACTTATGTAAGTATGGCCAGCTGTGGGAACACAATAGGTAGGGTGCTAGTCTTTTGCTTTGTATTGCGAGTAATTCTTGCTGTTCTTCAGGAAACCTGAATCCCCAAGAACTCGGCCTAGACAAAATGTGAATGAAATCAAAGATGGTACACCAAAGAAGCAAAAGCAGTGCAACTGCAAGCATTCACGTTGTCTGAAGCTGTAAGCAGCTTTTACTTTATATTCTTAGGTTTATTTATGTAACTCGTTAGTAAGATTTCGCTATCTTCACGTTCTTTCATTTTTCGAACCAGAAGTGATGGCTAAATATTGATAGAATTAGGCACATAAATCATTGAATGAAGTTGCAATTAATTTCAATATATAGATTACTTAATGATTTGTACGATACAATCTTATATTTCGACTTCTAACCAGATTTAATTTACCCCTCTTCATTTACAATGCTGATTATTGACTTAAAATAGCAGTCTATGAAATTCAAATTTATTCAAGCATCACATTGATCTTTCAAATCTGTTAGCTACCCATTTATATGCAGTATAGATGTTGCTTTATGGCTTATGCATCAACAGGTATAACGGATTTCTTGTTCTGAATTCTGTGAAATATCATTAGCATAAGAAAAGTTACTCTGACGACCTAAAATATTTTATCGGGAATGACAAATTGGATACTTATCTCTGTATATTTGAGAGTGATCATATGAGATAATGACTTCTTCATTCATGGTGCTGGAGATGGTGACCTTTTTTAGTATTTAATCAGGAATGACAGTAGATATCTGAGCTTCCATTTATGCATGTATTTTTTGAGTGACCATATGACTCTATTTTTGTCTTCATGTTTTTGGTTCTACATTTGAGTCCACAAACTGTAATACTTTAACTAAGGGAGCAGAATCTTGTGTTGTAAAATGGCTGGATGATATATTCATCATCCAACTGCCATTATGTTTTGTTACTTAGTAAACCAAGACCGATTTTTAGTTGAACTAGTCAATACATTATTTATTTCCTTTTAACTCAAACGCTGAAGGAGATTGTTTTGAACTTTCAACTGAGGATCATAATTTCCTTCCTGATTTCGAACAGCGATAAAGTGAGGGAGGGAGGGAGGATTTGTCCTAAAATAATGACAAGGTCTGTAGGTAGTGATGGCTGTGGATGGCGGATATGAAGTTAGTGGGTTAGGTGTAAGATGTGGGGAAAATAAAGACTTAAGTGAGAGACAAAATTGGTAATTTAACATTTCATTTCCCCTTTTAATTTTTATAAACATTGGAAAACAAGAAACGCACAATCATGTCACAACAGCATTTTTTTTTTTATTGAAAACTGGTCTTTGAGTGATGAATTTTGCTACGTAATGTATATTGATTGATGATAGAACAATATAGTGGACCTTTTTCACAGGCCAGTGTCGTGGACTGAAAATGCAATTCCGACCCTTGGCGAGCTTGAGTTGAAATGTGTTGATCATTCACATCATTGAGATTTTACTTTCAACTTTATATCTCAAATTGACATTTTCCTTTTTCTAGTTTGGTGGCAATACCTATATTATCTTTGATCGCCATGTTGTATGCTACTCTCTCAAATAAAGCATACTGCATATTTGATCAATTTCATTTTCAGGTATTGTGAATGTTTTGCATCTGGAATCTACTGCGATGGTTGCAACTGTGTGAATTGTCATAATAATGTCGAAAATGAAGCAGCGAGACGAGAAGCAGTTGAGGCTACACTAGAGCGTAATCCAAATGCTTTTAGGCCAAAAATTGCTAGCAGTCCACATGGAGCTCAGGATAACAGGGTACTTTGTGTTCCATATTGCCATCTTACTTCCATTTTCAAATAGAGTAACAGCTGGGATTTTTGTTTTTCTTAATTGTCATATTTTTGCTTTTACTTTTCATTACATTTGATCACTTTTACTGCTTTTTGATGTCTAACTCTTCTGATGCATGATGCTTCTGATACTTCTGGTAACAATGTTAAACATAACCGCATATTTGACCTTCTTTCCTGTGAGCTTGCTACGTTACAACTTTAGTTTTACTTCTATTGTACCATCATGAGAACCGATAATGTTTGCATCTCCACTGAACACATCAAGTAATGTTCTCTACTTCTGAAATGAACGTTGTTGTCCGAGCATTATAATACTTGATGAATAATACTTCACTTTAAAAAAATTTAAGATATATTAATTGATGTCACAATTGCAATTGCTTTGTTATTTGCACAGTTTTCTCCGAGAAGATTTCACGCTAATTGCACATACTTCACTGACATATTAGTGATAAATCTGTTGCCTAGTATACTGTATGAGCAGTGCAAACTTCTCTTCCCATTCAAGAGGAATACCTCAATGTGTTGCAACTGATTCTTGCGTGGTTATTTTCACAGCTTTCCCCAAGAAGATTCACTATAATTGTGCATGCTTTACTGACACATTAATGACAAATCTCTTGCCTGGTATTACTGTGTTAGCAATGAAAACTTCTCTTCCCATTGTAGAGGAGGAATATTTAAGTGGTGTCATTTGTTGAAATAAATGGTTCACATGTGCTCCGTCAAAGATAAATGATGAACTTCTATCTAATTTAATGCTGACTTATATAAACACTTCATTACTTTATGATGAATATGCAGGAAGAGGTTGGTGAAGTTTTAGTTTCAGGAAAGCATAACAAAGGTTGCCATTGTAAGAAGTCAGGATGCCTTAAGAAGTATTGTGAGTGCTTCCAAGCAAATATTCTTTGTTCTGAGAATTGTAAATGCATGGACTGCAAAAATTATGAAGGAAGTGAAGAGAGACAGGCTCTTTTTCATGGAGATCATGCAAATAACATGGTTTACATCCAGCAGGCAGCAAATGCTGCCATAACTGGTGCTGTTGGAACTTCTGGTTATGGGTCTCCCCCGTTGAATAAGAAAAGGAAAGGTCAAGAAATCTTCTTCGAGTCAACAGTTAAGGATCCTGCACACCGGCTTGGACAAGTACAACAGGTAACTTTCTGGCGGTTGCTTAAAAAATGGCAATTTCATCCTGTTAATAGGTCTTGGATGGAAATGTGGTTGCTGAAAATTAACTATTTTTAAGGCTCCAGATAACCCTGTATAGCACTCTTTGGCATCTTCAGCGTGAGATAATATGAGCTAAGATTGAGCTTTATTATTAATCACTGAACTATAAATCGGCCTAGACGCCACCCGGCTGCCTCTGATTTGCATGAGTCGGCTGAAAAAAAATCAGTCAGGCGGCTAGGCGGGCTCGGCGGCAATTTTCCTTTTTTTTTTTTTGAATACTAATTACATTATTTTGTTATCATATTTTCTTTATAATATATTAATATTATTATTTGGACTTTGGTGCCATTTATTATAAGTTGAGATAGTTTTATTTTGTAGGCAGTGAAAATAAATAAAACATAAGTTATTTAATCTTAATTTCTAGGCCCCGCCCTAGGCACTCTAAGCGCTAGGCGCTGGTCGAGCACCTAGCGACTTCTAGAACACTGTTAATGAGTTTTAGCTGCCTTGTGTTTCACAATGCAGCAGCAAAGTCACTAAAAAAGTGTGCTAAGAGTTGGCATTGTTGGTTCTGCTGGAATCAGGATAAGCTAACATTTGAATTGTTTGAACGTGTATCTTTTGATGGCTGATATGAAGAGTTATGCTCAAAAGTTTCTAAATGATGTGTGACAGTGCAAAATAAATTGATGCTGGGTATGACTTTTTGGATGAATCTCATTTTACTTAAACACAATTCATGATTGAAATTACTCATTTTGTTATAGCTAGATTTCCACATTTTGGCATGTACTCTGTCGTCATTACTCATTTCAGGTAGATGATTATTGGTTCCTTACACTTTTTTTTAAAAGTAAAAGTTGTTATTACGTTATCATATATTTTTCAGTTGAAGTTACATATGCTCTTAGGTAACACTTAGTTTGCATTTGGTGGAACATAAAGAATTTTTTCAGTTGAAGTTACATATGCCCTTAGGCAACACTTAGTTTGCATTTGGTGGAACATAAAGAATTTGGATGGAGTACCAACATGCTATGGCCATTAGTGAAGAAGTCTAGGTTGCATAATTTGTATTATATTTGTCACCAACTCACCATGCAAATAACAAAAAACTTAATATAATCTTCTTGTTTTATATGGTAATACAAGAGTTAAGATGTCCAATTTTGGAATTTTGGAAATCTGGTTAGTATTAGAATTAATTGTCCAAAATTGTGAACAATGTTCCAGAATTTACATATTTGAGTGTAAAGCTAGGAGTTCTCCAACACTGAAGTGTTTCTAACTTGGGGCACATGAGTCATAAAATATGATTAACTTGGGACACCTGTCGATTTTTCAGTTTTCTTTTAGGTTCTTTTTCCCTGTTTCTTTAGTTTTAATTTTTCCAAGGGGTTGTCATATTTTTACCATGTTTTTTTTTTTTACTTTTTATTGGTTTTGTTGGGCTAAATATTGTGCAATTGTCTGGATGGAATTGATTGCAATAATATTTGCAGTGTAGACACTTATTTGTGTCCTTGTTTCCACAACATCTTATTCACTTTGTAATTTAGTCATTTATATTTCTCAATTTATTGAGGAACATGAATTCTTGTGTCTGATGTGTGGTTTTCTGTGATTACAGGCTAATCAAGTCAAGGCCTCTATACCTTATTCCTCTTCATTACCATCATTCCCTGGTGCTCGAGCTGGTAATATGCCAGTCGTGAGCCCTTCAAAGTTTACCTACAGGTATACATGAGCGTCCCTATGATGAATCATTTTTCAATGTTTCTTCAGATATCTGACCTGGCCAATCACATTGAAAGGTCTCTGTTAGCTGACATCATTCAGCCCCAGGATTTGAAGGAGCTGTGTTCAGTGCTTGTCGTATATTCCGGAGTTGCAGGTGCATGTGGATTTAAAATTCTATTATTTGCCGGTTTATGTAACTACTAATTCATTCTGTTCACATGCAAAGCTGCAAATAATATAATTTATATATCCTCTATTTGGAATTGTAACGTACATAACGTGCATATCACATTTGAAAATTTCGAAATCTTTTGAAAATGAACAATATGGATATAAACTATTTAACTTACATATGAATCATTATATTGGCGGCATAAAATGTAATGAATGTAATTTTTATAATTTTGAAGGATCATTGCTAATTAATAACTGAAAAAATTAAAATTATTGTTATTATTATTGTGGCAATTAAAAATGTACTTTTAAAGTATTTGGTTATGCTGTTACAACCATTTATCTAATTTAAAGAAGATATGCTTAATGAGAAACAAAAATACAATTGATTATAGAATATGTTTTTATATAATTTTAAAGGAAAATTTCTTAATGAGATAAAAAAAGTAATAGTTGATTTTAGAATAAGTAGTTTACATACAAGTTTTGCTATATAATTCTGATAAGTATGTAACTTTAATGTACCATTTAGTGTGAATTTATAGTTAGTGCTAGTAGTGTCTATTACATAATAGAATCGTTAAAAAATATGATTACACTTAATTAATGTAAAATATAACTGTTTGCTTCCATAATTAACTGAAATAAACATTTATTAATAATTGTACAAAAATTAATAATAATAATAATAATAATAATAATAATAATAATAATAATAATAATAATAATAATAATAATAATAATAATAATTTGTGTACCTCAAATTCAGAAAAACTACATTATCCATTTCATTTTATGATCATTTTACGATTTTACAATTTTGCAATTTTGTTTCTGATCATTTTACAATTTTGCAATCAATTCTCATAACCTTAAAATGCAACAGAAAAACACGCAGAGGTTCCCGGGGAAACCCCACAGATTTCATCAACTCAACATCAGCCTCAATCCCAAAAGCATCCTGAAGCGGAAAAAGCTCTGGCAGACCCTTCAAATAAAAGTCAGTGTGATGTAAATCCTGAAGAGTCTGGTTCAGATGGAGCTGATGCATCAAAAGGAAGGCCAATGTCTCCTAGTACATTAGCTCTAATGTGTGATGAAGATGATACAATGTTCACTTCGGCTGCTTCCTCTAGCGGATTAGTGGTTGATAATCATGTGTCTTCCCAGTTGCGGGAAGAGACAGAGGCGTATGCTGAGCAAGAAAGAATTGTTTTAACGAAGTTCCGAGATTGTCTTAATAGGCTCATCACGTTAGGGGAGATAAAAGGCAAGTTTCTTTTACCTGCTCTTAATTGAGTGGTTTATTCTATACCTGTTATGTATTGTTTATTTATTTATTTATTTACCATGATTTTATATGAGTGCAATAAATAATAGCCTGCACTCACAGCCAACACATGCACATGCAGAACATCAAACTGGCGAAGTACCTTCTTTATTCTTTGTGATATATTTATCCATGGTATAATCAAGAGTTCCATTGTACTCTAACCTTACCATTATTGTTGTGGGGTCCAATTCTTGATAGTTCATTATGTTTGAATTCGGTTTAGTGTTGACAATTATGGCTGCATAATGGGAGCTCGTGCAAGGAAACCATACGTGGAATACAATATTTGGCAACACAATAGGGTTGTCTCCTTATCTAGTGCATTAGTTGCACCATATGTTCCTGTCAACATGTTAACGGGTGACACAGAAGTATTAGAGATAGGTTAAAGGTTTCTAGTCTTTTGTTGTGCAGTTGAAGGGTCGTTAGTTCTTTTGTTTTAAGGTAAGCTATGTGCTGTGTAGATGCTGAAGTATTGGGGTGAAAAATTTCTTAGAAGTTATATAAACAAATTTTAAGGTGCCAACTTTCACTTATTTTTCCATTATGTCCTGAAGTTCAAACAACACTTTGCACTCTATTAAATATTAGGGGTTTTCAAGGTACAATTATAAACGAAAGTGACCTTAGATATACCATTGATATATACTAATTATTTCTAGTTTTGGATGCATCTATCTACCCTGTTCCGTGTCTTGTAGCAATCTATGTTTCTAGAACCAGAAGTATCTTGTGGAATAGTGCACATATCTGAACATAATATAATTCTAATTTGATAATCTCAAACATTTTTCCAACTCTCAATGATTATTTCTGTTTATCTTGTAACATACAGAAACAAAATATTCTGCCTTGGCACGAGCACAATCATGTAACGAGAAGGACCTTACCAGCAGCAGCAACAGCAGTTCGGATATGAAATATGAAACTAAGAATCAACTGCCTATAACTAATGGTGGTTTTGTAAAATTTGTTGATGCTCCACATAAAACTTCTCCATTGATTACCTCAACGCATGGTGCTGCCAATAATGTCCAACATCTGAGAATAATGTCATCTGGAAACGGGGATGTAAGAACAAAATCCAAAGAGTTGTAACTATTTATCTACTGGATACATATGGTTCTGCATCTCTTGCGATATTAGGCAATTGTTGCTACATGTTAGGGCTGAGCATGGGACTCGGAGAATTCCGAACCGTTCCAAAAACCGAACCGAAATCACTCCAAACCGCAAAATAACCGTTAGACCGTTTGACTTTCTCCGAACCAAACCGAACCGAAAAAATAATTGGTACAGTTCTGGAGATTTCACAAATATCCGTACCGAGAACCGAACCGAACCGAACCGTCTCATATTGTACTGAACTGAAGAACCAAAATTAAGAACCGAATTATAACATTAGATGTGTTATTAATATATTTTATGTCACCTTTGATCCTATATAATATAGTAATAATAACTATTAACCTTCTCTTAACTTTCATGCTTAGTAATACATGATCTACAATTGAATTTTTTCTATTATAAAATAATTATTTAAAATAATATGAAAGGTTAAAGAATATTTTTTAGAACAAAAAATATTATATTTTGTTTGAATTTTAAATTTTCAATATTAGTTTCAAAAATTGAGTCTTAACTAAAATTTAGAGTTACTTCTAAAGTTGATTTCAAAATAAAATTTTTAAAATGAGGAAGTATTGATGAATGTTGATTTTATTAAAGCATATTAAAATTAAATAACTAAATTTTAGAGTTACTTCTAAAATTAATTTCAAAATAAAATTTTCAATATAATGAATTATTGATCAATATTGTTTTTTAAAGCGTATAAAAATTAAAATATAACTAGGTAGTCATTAAAAAAATCTAAAAAATAAGAAATCTCCGAAGATCCGAACCAAACCATACCGAACCATACCGTCTCAATAGTCCCGAATACCGAATTGAACTGAACCGAAATATAAAAATACCCGAACCGAATCGAACTAATTTTTTGGTACGGTTCCGGAGATCAAATTTTGGGATCTCCGAACTTTGGTACGGTTCTGGAGATTTATCAATCTCCAAACCTTACCGACCCACGCTCACACCTACTACATATACATGTCATTCTTTAAAAAAAAAAAATAAAAAAATACATGTCATTCTTAGAATTGAACTGATCTCTTGCGTATCATTCGTCATTCATCGTCAACTATATGAAGTAAGATATGAAGTCAAATTGAGAAAGCATTTCATAGTTAATTTATATTACCAAAGAGACAGTTAGACGCTCAGCAGACATCAGAAGTTCAGTTGTGTTCACGGTGGCTTCTCCACGAACCTCACAGTCACTATCGTAAGTACGAAATAGAAGGGTAACTACTGTGAGAGTTAAGGAGAGCCAACTGCTGCAATGGTGATTATAGTTTTGTGTTGCCCAATCTTCTCTTGGGTCTTGGTTGAACATCATTGATTTATTATAAGTGCTCCTCCTTGCTATGTCGTGTATATACATATATAT